GTCCGGCATCGACTGACTGACCGACTCAGCGATTGCCTCGTTACTCTTACTGCTCCTACTTATTATAGGTGGGAGAGTCTATTAACTATAGAATAGGTGTGTTCCACTATAACAAAAATGAACAGCAAAAGACTTTGCCCGAGGAAATGTCTTCTGAGGAGAAGGAAGAAAAAGGGGGATGTCCCAAATTCTTAAATGAAAGAAATTTGTGTTAAATGGGGTGATGTGCAAAGTTTTGTGGAAAAATATCCCCCTGATACAGTGGATAGCAAATATAGAAGTAAACCATTTCAATAAAAATGCCATGCCTCATTTTAGAAAAAAAAAAAAAAAAAATAAATAAAAATACAACGCAGGCAAAAACAACTAACAATGAACAGGTTTTTTTACTGAAAGAAAAAAAAGAAAAGAAACTCCAGAGAAAGATTTACTTGAGCCAAAGAGACAAAGAAGGAAAGAAACTACCAAAGATAGACATCAGAAGTTTTTATGGAAGGGGACTCCACTTCTAAGAAATAACTCCTCCCCTTCCCTCCCTCACTCCTATCAACTTATATCATCACATCGCAACTAAAAATGCATGTACAGAATACAGTGTTGTTATGTTAAATTTACTTCTATTATGTTTTTCATTTCATTTACACTTTTGTTTGAATAACCGTTTTTATACTAAAATATATAGCGTAAGCATATAAATAAGCATTAATCTGGCGTTTGGAAACGAATTAATCTCTTCTACATTAATTTTAATGGAAATTCATCAACTCTAGACTCTCAGGTGGATGTCATGCATGGCGTCGAATTCGTTCAGAAATGTCTAAACCAACAGCTATATACAACCGTTTTCTCAGATCGATGCTTAAAAAACTGCTTCACGTGAATGAATCCTTTAGGTCTTAAAGTAGACAACACCTTATCAAGCTCTATAAACTGGCACTACATAATCACAAATGAAGAGTTTTACCAAATAACAAAACCCACATCACTTAAACACTTCCAAAAGCAACCACAGCTAAAATGGATGACATGTGCAACTAGAAGGGAAAATATTGATTTAATCAAGATGTTGACTTTCCATAAGACCTTAAATAAAAGGGTTGGAAGGAAACTTCTATCAATACTAGAAAAAGTGATAATAGTGGATTTGAAAATTGTATTTTCCGGAAAAACTCTTTTTACGATAAAGATTTTATAAATTTCAGTCAACAGTAACATTAAATATTCGGCCAATGTATACCTAATGCTTCCTGTATTTCACCACTGTCATTATAATTAGAAGAACAATATACATATTCCTAAGTTCTACAACGATCAGAAAACCGGCTCCTCATTAAGATGAATGATAATATACATAATCAAGAATGAATTTACACTATTTACATTGTTCGAACTGTTTTCCTCATCACCAATCGAGTAGCGAATTGATCAAATGTCAATAGGATCCTCCATGATACACGCATTTTAACAAACCACCCACATTCCCTTCGGATCCCATTGGTGCGAAGTAAGTTCCACACGAGCAGCTTATTCCCGTGAGCCACTGCTCTGTGGAACCGACTCCCAAGAGGATGCTTTCCCGACCATTACAATCTTAATCTGTTCAAGAACAGGACTTTTTTTTAAAAGTAATAATTTTATATTCGTACAAATAGATAATACAAACATGCAATTCCAATATGTGAGGGATCATAAGAAATATACATATAAATTTTTGATGCTAAATAAATGAACCTAGTAAACGGAGTTCTCTTTGATTTATTACACGTAGGTATAATGCTATATATATATATATATATATATATATATATATATATATACTCTTCTCTCTCCCCGTCAAATTCGACGTATGAGGGTCAAGCAGATCAGTTCATAGGAAACAAACAGCCCGACAACATGAGATTTGATTATAGTGGTGAAGGTTTCGTGCAGGACCATCCACACTTTTTGAAGGGCCGAATACAGAGACCTGGTGCATTAGGTGCCACAAGGTTTTGAATTCAGAGTTGTCCTTCTCCTAGACCAGTTGCCATCCAAGGCTATAGAACCCAGTCTGTCCTGCTATTTACCCATAGCTGTTTTCTTTTTGAATTTTTAGGTCTGATGAATTGGATCGTATTTACGATTCCAATGGAATAAATTATGGCCATGGAATATTAGTGTTTAAGTTTTTTTATATATATATATATATATATATATATATATATATATATATATATATATATATATATAATTAATGAAAAAACAGACCACTTTAAGGTACCATTACAATAATTTATTTCACCAAAATCCTTTTGAAGGACTCCGGATCATCAGGTAACACTTCCAACAACTAAATGAAAGGATATATATATATATATATATATATATATATATATATATATATCAAAACTTAGCTATGAAGGTGTACAGTACATTTGTCTTTGTGGCCAGTGAAAGCCAATAAGATTGTTGAATAATTCAGTTGCATCTGAAGTCAGGGCTAAAAGTGAATTTTGTGACTCAATGTTGTAGTAGAGTACTAGTACATTCTTTCTGGGGTAGTAAGATTATGTGTTGTGTTCATTTGAAGTCTTAGAATTGTCAGTAAATTGGCTATCGTTTGGGCAAAATTTAAGAATTAGCTAGTTTTTTTTTAAAGTAATAATTTTATATTCATACAAACAGATAATACAAATAGATACATGCAATTCCAATATGTGTGGATCACAAGAACAATACATATAAATTGTTGATGCTAAATAAATAAATCTAGTGAACAGAGTTTCTCTTTTATTTATTACACGTAGGTATAATGGGTCACAATGCAAAATGTGGTTCTTGCTGTGAGTAAACGCTGAGATTAAACGATTAGAGATTAAAGACATACTGAGGACGCGTATTATACAAACGCAAACACGTTGTCTGTATAAACCTTTCCACCTACTCGATTATCTTCGCATTATTATTTGTGAACGGTCAAAAACGTTGTGTTTAAACATTCGTAAATAAAATTATTGTTAAGGATGAAAAATAAAAAAAAATCTATAGATAATATCTAAAAAATAAGTTTCTATACAGATAAGAGGGGTTTTAAAGATGTCACATCTCTTCATAGTGTAAGCGGTCATGGCTCTCCACTTTTTCTTTAGCTATATTTTATTAAGAAATCGCGTTGGTGTCTTGATAGTATGACACAAATGAGATTTCTTACGAAAGATATAGTGGAAATGTTTCTTGCCGCTTTTCACAATTTAAAATTGGGGGTTCTCCTTCTGTTAGATTGGTTTCCACCCAAGGACAGAGTATACCATAGCTGGAAAGAGAGGAGATAGGTTCATAACTTAGGCAAGGGAATTTGTGTGAAATCTGCAACGTTATCGGCCCGGAGCTGGCATCTCGGCTTCAATCCTATTGCGACCAATTTAGTTACTTCCCTGTGCCTTTTCGAGAAATATTTTCATAGTAATTGTTCTGACGAGCTTTTCCTCTCTGGTATCTTCACGAATATAAACGCGGTACGACATTGACAGCGAGACGATTTTAATGTTGAAATGGTTAGATGTAGTCGTAAGATCTATGTTAATAGTTTCTTCTGTCGCACTTCTCGCCCACTTCCGGCTTTTTGCTTTCCTGTCAAATACGATCTTCAAAAATTTAAATGCGACATCAATCGCCATCTTCTGTTCTTAGTCTAAATAAATTTCAAATTTTATAAATTTATCTGAATATTTGTTCTGAAACCTGTTCCTTTATAGTCCTTCTTGCTTAGTGGCGTTTTTTTCTTTTCTTTTTTTTTTTTTTTAGTTTCTTCGGCTCTTAGCCCCCCCCCCTGCATGTTAGGAGAATGCCAAACCGTGTTGAAGGCAGCGGAAAGCCACTCCACCATCTTTATCAGGAGTGTATGCTAAATCGCAGATTGTGAAGAAAAGGAAGCTGTGGAGAGTCATAATAACTTATATTCTGAAGGAACATGGCATTTAAAGAAAATATGCATGAAGTTGTATAGTGATTTTCCAAGAGTAACTCAGATGTGGCACAAAGCCGAAAGTATGGGGCACCCAGTGAGGATCGAACTCACGACTCTAGCGTAACCATTAGACCACGTCGATGTGCTCGAAGATAAATTTCTAAGCGTAACTTAGATGTGGCACAAGGCCGAAAGTATGGGGCACCCAGTGAGGATCGAACACACTGCTCTAGCGTAACCATTAGACCACGTCGATGTGCTCGAAGATAAATTTCTAAGCGTAACTTAGATGTGGCACAAGGCCGAAAGTATGGGGAACCCAGTGAGGATCGAACTCACTGCTCTAGCGTAACCATTAGACCACGTCGATGTGCTCGAAGATAAATTTCTAAATGTAACTTGGATGTGGCACAAGGCCGAAAGTATGGGGAACCCAGTGAGGATCGAACTCACTACTCTGTCGTAATTGTTCTAGCGAGACAAGCTATCTAACCATTACACCACCTCGAGGTGCCCAATGTATGAAGTTGCATAGCTGGATTTTAGTTATGAAAACGTTTATTTTTCAGTTTTTTCTTTCAATTATTTTTCGAATAAATAAATATAAGACAGACACAATGACACAGGAAAATAAACAAACAAACAAACAACAAACGAAAGAAACTCACCAATTCTCAGATGACGATTCATGTTGAGGCCTTTGCCACTCTTACAAACCAATTGACTCTTACTGCCTGTATATTTGGCAACAGAGAGCATCAACGAAAAGTGGAAGAATCCATTTCTTTTTTAAGGGAAGTTAAATAAACATTGCTAGTCGGTACACCGAGTTTTAAACTGTTATAATTATTTAAAAAAAAATTCCGTTGAATCATTAAAACTTGGAGATTGCAGGTGGGTAATTAATTTTTTTAAAAAATCTATTTTATTATTTGTATCGTCAACTCACATAAAATTTAAATGAAGGTTATAATTTATCATGCAAGCAGCATTGAAAGAATTGACGTAATAATTATCATCAGCAAGAAAAGTCAACGAGAGGTCGTGAGAGAGATTAAGGAAGGAAAAGAGGAAAAGAAAAATAAGAAGAAAAAAGAGGATAGAAAAGGAAAAGAATAAGGAAAAGCAGGAAAAGAGGAAAAGAAAATTGGGAATACGGTACAAAAGAAAGAAAAGAAAAGAAAAGAAAAGAAAGGAAGAAATAGTAATAGATTGGCAGTAGAAAAAGATGGAGTAAGAGAAAAAGAATGAATAGAGATGGGGAAAGAAAGCAAGGCGGGAATAATAGATAAAGAGACAGAGGAAAAGAAAAGTCAAAAGAAAGTGATTGAAGAAGAAGGGTGAGGGAGAAGAACCAGGAAGGAGATATCAAAGAAAAAAAGAAAGAAAGAAAGAAGTCATAGGAGACAATAATAAAATGAAAAGTGAAAGAAAAGGAGGAAGTGAAAGAAGAAAAGTGAGGAATAAAGAAAATGAGAAGGGAAGAAGACAAAGAGGAAAAGGGAAGTAAAGAAAAAAGAGAGTGATTGAACAAGAAAGGTGAGTGAGAGGAATCTTGAAGAAGACGTCAAAATTTATTAAGAGCTACAGAAGGAAAGCGGTAAGAAAGGAATAACTGCCAGTTCTAAGAAGACAGAATAAATGTTATTGAGCAAGAGCCACAGCACAAAGTGACGCGAATTGAAAATGTCAAAATCAGACAACTACAGAAGTTTAAATATCTGGCGGAATTATGTGACACCGAAATCCGAAGGCATATTATAATAGAAAATAATGGCTTCTAAAATCTGAAGAAAGTATTATAAGTCAGAAGATTTTCGTTAGAAACAAAGAAAAGAGTGCTGAACTGCGATGTAATAGCAATATATAGCAGTGGAAAAATTCCTCGCAGATGAAGTAGACACTTAAAGCAACAGAGATGTGGTTCAACTAATTAGCACTAAAGATACCATGGATAAAACATGCGAGCAATGGGTGAAGCGATAAGAAAAATGGAAACAAAAAGGATACATGTGCTTAGAATCAGAAAGAAACCATTGAAATTTAATATATTATAAACAAATGAAGGGCTTGGGGAATTTGACACCCACAGGGCATATTAAGAGGAAGATGGCTAAAAAGAAATATAAAGCAACTTAACGAGTTAATACAAATAGATGGCAGGATTGAGCCAGAAGGATAGTAAGTAGGCAAACATTTCTTACAGTTACAAAAGAAGTTGTGGAGAGTCAAGATCTCACACATTCGGAATGGACACAGCACATAAAAGTAGTAACCTCAAAGTTAATGTTTGTGATGCTTGCTAAAATAAACTATAATTAGGGCACATACTGAGGAAAGAGGGCTTGGAAAATTTGATACTTACAGGACAGATTGAAAACAAGAGAGACAAAAGAAAAGAAAGCATAATCTAACTAGCTATCTTGGGTAAATGAATGGCGGAGAAAAGTTTAGAAGAGATATCAGTAACCAGGGAATTTAAGAAATATTTATTATTTTATGATTCGGAGCGGATTTTCGGTAAATGATGTTTTTGTTTGACAAAAACAATTGATGATTCAAATTCACCGAGGACACCTGCTTTTAACTAATATAATGATTTTCTAAAAAGAATTTCAACAATTATTTTTATTCATTTCTGAAAATTTAAATAAAATCAGACAATTATTTGATTTTTTTCAAGAATTTCCAAAACGATGTCTTATTTAATGAAAAAAAAAAAAATAGACGCTAAAAATCCCTATACTAATCTTTGGGCACCCCGCTGACGCAAAAAAAAAAAAAGAAAGAAAAAAGATTTTTAACCAAAGTTTTGACAGATTATAAAATTGAATAAAACAATCAAAAACAATTTGGTCTTTCCTCTTAATAATAACATAAACATTTTGACGATAAAACTTTGTTATTATTAAGTTTCGGGCCTTTTTTCTTCATGGTATGCTCTTTTGTTTTTTTGTTTTTTTTTTTAGAGAAACTTTGGAATTAATTTATAGCAATGGAAAAATAACCTAAAATGTCAAATTTTATTGCAGACTATACCAAATATCTTCTATGCCCAGCATCCCTTCAGGACATTGGCGATCATGGCTCTCCACAATTTCTCCTAGCAGTTTTTCTACCTTTGCTATGGCCCCTGCATCTGGTTCCACCATCTATTCACATATATCTTCAGTGGTGGACTGGCAAGTGGCTCCTTATATCAAATAAAATGCATTAAAAAAACAAACACAGACAACTGTTTTGGTAACAAAAATTTTCTAAATTCATCTGCACACTATCAAGTTCAATGTGAGTGGACATTTTCAAAGTTAAAGATCATAAAGACAAGTTTAAAAAATTGTCTGTCTTAGGAGAATTTGGAACCATACATGTTGCTAACCATTGAAAAGGAATTCTTAGATAAATTGGAAGCAGAAACAATTATTGGCAAATTCAAACAATCATCGAGTGAACACAAACGATTGCTCTTAATACAATGAACTGCAGCCAATGCTCTATTGTGCTTTTGAACTATCTGTTAATGTGCAAATTGTGCAGTAAACTATTTTAAAATATCAACCAATTACTTAAAATAAAAAAAAATTAAATTCTAACATTCTGTATTTATATTCTGTATTTACTACTGCCAGTAATATTTACAGTCTATAGGGGGCTTACGATTCTGTACGATCACCGTTTAAGCAAGATCGAGTCTAGCCAGTATCTAGATGGATGACTGCTTGGAAATACCGGGTGCTGTAAGCTTGGATGTGCAGGTGGTGTAATGGATAATGGCTTGGGCTTGTTAATCGGAGAGCCGAGTTGGGTTCGTTATATTCACTTAGGTGCAAGTACCCTCGGGAAATATATCGATCCACCGCTTCTCTCCCAGCTAGGGGTTAATTAGTTAGACTTGTATCACTAAACCATTATCAAAGGAAACCAACATGGAAACATGCATTTGAAAATACTGAAACAGTCACCATAATGTCCTACCTTAAAGAAATTGCTTTAAACAAAATACATATAACACTTAAAAGAGATGATATCTCTATAAAACATACATTTTTTTAAAAATAATTTCACCTCAAACAAGGTGGGAATACCACTAATACGCAGGCGGTTACAGAGAGTGAAAGTGAGAGAAAAAGCTGATTATAGAGAGGAATGAGGAAAACGGCAAGAGATAAACGGGATTCAAAAAGAAAGAAGGTGGCGATTGGCATTGTATTTAAATTTTTGAATATTAGTTATTAGGGAAGCAAGTAAACGGAAGGGAGTTTCACAGGCGGGAAGTGCTAGAAAAGAAACTGTTGGAGTATTTCAACAGTAAAAAGGTGGGGCCTAGATGCCAATATAGTAGCACGCTTAAATTCATGTAGTCGGGATACCAGGGGAAAAAAAACCTCGTCAGAGCTGTTACTATGAAAATATTTTTAGAAAAGGCAGGGAAGCCACATTACTGAGTCGAGATGCCAAGTCAAGAATGCAGATCATCCTTTGGATTTAGTCAAGAACCTCCAGATGAATAGCAGGAGCATCAGACCAGATGTCGCAACAGTATTCAATGCATGGCCGAATGGTAAATTTGTAAAGCGACAAAATGGACGCTGTCAAGAAAAAATAATTTCTGGCACGACACAGTGACCCAAATTTCCTTGCAGTAGATGTAGCTTTTGATTCAATGTAGTTGTTCCACTTCAAGTCAGTTGAAAACCTTGAAAGTATCAAATTATGTACAAAATATCTAGTTGAAGGCATACAATTGTGTCCATATATATATATATATATTTAGTTGGCGCTATAAAATTGCGTTCAAAATATTTAGATTTCGGCATTAAATAACACCTAGAGATGTTGATATGCTGCTTAACAAAATCAACCAACTAACAGTATGTGTATATTTGTAATTAGTAAGGAATATACATTATTCTACAAAGATTTTATTTGCGCCCTTTCTCCATAGGCATTTTTTTTAAACATCATTCGTTATGAAAATTAAATGGTAGCATTGTAGTTGTAGGTGGGTCTCCGTTGGTCACCTTACAGCCAATATTTTTAGATCCAGTCCGACACTGTATATATGACTTTATTCTGTCTATAACCATTGTCAGTGGTAAGACGAGTTATAGCAACATGATAAGTAAGTTTTAATTATCGGTTGGCCTAAATATTCTTTAATTGGAATTTTTTTTTAAACTGATGACGAATCAATTTAACCTATATTTTGACGTTGTGCAAGACTCTTAATATTTTATGCGTGTGTATGCATATAGGTGTGTTTACGTATATGAGTCTATATGTGTGATTGTGTATGTGTGCGTGTTGGTATTTAAAATTTCTAGCTTAGTGACGAGTAGAGATGGCTTTATTAGACTTTCGTGTTGCGGTCGAAGGTATTCAATATTTTATGTGTTTATAAGTGCACATGTACGTTTGTGCCTACGTTTGCATACGTGTTTGTGTTTGTGTGTGTGTGCGTTTCAGTGTGTGCTTACCTTACTGTGCGTGCGTGCACGTGTGCATATGCGCACATGTGTATATGTGTAGATGTGAGTGTGGGGTATTCAAATTTTCAAACATTACAACACCTGCTGCTTTCAGTCCCTGCTGTCTGCAACACCCCCAGTTTGTCATCGCAAAGCCTTGTCGTGAAAGCCGTTAGAATAACGAACAATTGAGTAGAGAATTGATCAAATGTCATTAGGTTCCGCCATGCTAGCTGCATTGTCGCAAACCACCTATATTCCCTCCGTATTCCGTCGACGAGAAGTAAGTTCCACTCGAACAGCTTCTACCCGCGAACCACTGCTTTGTGGAACCGACTCCCAAGAGGATGCTTTCTTGACTGCTACAATCTTAACCTGTTCAAAACTACGATTAGCCGTTATCTTCCCTACATATCCGCATAAATCGAGCCTCTTACACTGTAACCCTCTACCTCAAATGGCTCCCGGGCTTTATACAAGGTGAACCCCACTGTAACAAATAAATAAATAAATATGAAATAAAAATTAAGTCGGTTTTCAATCCCTGGTGAAAGCTATTTTGAATGCCGATTTTCAAAGCAGACACACACACATATACGCACTCAAATATATATATAGTGATTTTTTAAGCGTAGCTTAGTTGTGACACAAGGCCTAAAATATGTGGTACCCAGTGAGCATCGAACTCATTATTTAATCATAATTGATATAAATTGGAGTTGGAGTTTACTACCTGGTCATAGCAGAGGGGAACAGAAACTTGGCGGGTTATCAAGGTGAATTAACTGAAACTGGAATATCTAAAGGCATGACACGTGGAATTAAAACAACCTACTCCCATGGACTAAATAAAGGGTTTGGTTCGAAATTTCAACGTTTATCACCTGAAGAAGGTCGAAACGTACAACGACCGAAACGTCGTGAGTATGGCAATAAAGTCGAGGACAACAGTTCGAACAATGTAAAGATGTAAAGAGTTACAATATCTCATCTCAGAAATATAGACAGATCCTGAAGAAGACCCGACTGTACAATGGCCAAAACGTCGTGAAAATGGCAATAAAGATGAGAACAACAGTCCGAACAATGTAAATAGTGGTAATAGTGACAATACCTTATCTCATAAATAGAGACAGATAATCGTGTATGGATGCTTGTAAGATGTAGAATAGTATCCAGACGAAAGTGATGAGGATGAGACAAAGCGGAAAAACTTATACAGACAACGCGCTTCAACTCCTTCTAGTAAGCGTTCTCAGATCAGAATGATAGACCCTGTGTTTAAAGAAAGTACACTGGTCGGTGTTAGAGCCCTGGTAAAAGCTATTTTGTATGCTGATTTTCAAGGAGCACACACTCACACATATATAATGGTTTAGCTTTGATGTGGCACAAGGCCAAAAGTATCGGGTACCCAGTGAGGCTTGAACTATTCAGACGTAATTGATCCAGCGAGATAAGGTTACTAACCATTACATCACGCAGAAGTACCCGACTGACACACATGCGCACACGTACGCATATATATATATATATATATATTGTTTAACATTTATTATAGCTATGGTGCTTAATATTGTATATAGAGCGTTTTTAGATATAGAAATTGGGAAGATAAGGAATCAACACTGCATGTTAACTGCCAGTTTCACACCTCGGACGATCTTCAGACCATGTGTCACTGCTCCTTTCGCAGGTTCTGTATATAGTTCACTCGGGGATTAAGGGAAATGAGGACAGGAATAACAGCCCTTTCTAGTTCTTTTGTTTAGGATACACACACAAGGTAATATATAGAAGTGATTTTTGGCTTGCCTGTTTATTTAAATATTTATTCATTATTTTAAGTTCGTTTATTTATTTAATTTCATATATTTCATATTTTTTCTTCGGTTCACAATTTTTAGTATTTAAAATAAAGTTTATTAGATTTAGGCTATGAGATTTTATTCACTCTTTTGAGTCATGAGGTTGTTTGTAGGTAGCTGAGTAAACATTTGTTTTCGTATATGCATTTGAAAATCTTTTATTCAGTAGTTTATCTTCTGGAAAGGTGGTTGTCACTTGTTTCTTCTAGGCACAGGTGTTTAGCGGATTTTGTTCTCAGTTGTTGTTATTCTTATTTTTTTTATGTTACTTTTGGTTTGTGATTTTCGGTTTTCAATTGCTTTGAGAGAATTGTGCTATTTGCATATATATATATATATATATATATATATATATATATATATATTTTTTGTGTGTCACTTCTCTGTTTCCAATGAAATCTGTTACTTCAATGCACATTTTTGACAAAATTACCATCCGTAAGATTAGGGTTATCATTCGAAAATGGCAGTAACATCAGCTGACCCCAGATCTCCATCGAAAAGACGCCCTCGTAAGGGAAGTGAAGCTTGATAGATTTGTCTATTGGAAAGAAATGCACAAGACATTCGCATATCGGAGAGAATTTCAAAAGGATCTGTAGATTTCTGAAGCAGAAGTGAGCAAGGATAAAATTTATTAGGTACTGCACCGCGTACGACTGCATTCTCGGACCCCTAAAAAGCCCCCTTGTGCTGACGGACAAAGCACATGACGGTTTGTCTATCATCACTAAGAGAAGTGTGTTTCATTATGCGATAGATGATTATGGCCTGACGAGTCTAAAATTGCACTCCTCAGTGAATACCACCCGACACACACCTGGAGGAAGGACCTAGTTACATGCCTTAATTCCACCAGTTCAGGTCTTTACAACTAGGAGCCATAATGACATGTTCACGTCATATAGCCTGACGTACTGTTTAACCATTCATTCGCAGAGAACTTCCAGATTAGCAAAGTGCAAATTACTGCTTATAAACACACATCTTCGACAGTATATATATATGTTTCTAAGCTATATGACTGTTTCCGTATGGGATACAGGTTCGATTCCTGTTGGTTGGAGAACACATATTTTCTACAAAATCTCCCAAACATTCAGGTCGGAAAATGTGATTAATACTGTTTAATTAAAAACAGAATTTCCTCAAATAAGCTGTATCCATAAAAATAATGTGTAAATAGAATATATATATATCTATATCTATCTATCTATCTATATATATATATATATATATATATAGCTGTATCCATAAAAATAATGTGTAAATAGAATATATATACAGCTTATTTGAGGAAATTCTGTTTTTAATTAGTTTCTGATAAATGGATAAAATATTCAGAATTGATGAGTGTGCAAATAATTTCGTATATATATATATATATATATATATATATATAATTTCGTATATATATATATATAATTTCGTATATATATATATATATATATATATATTTCGTATATATATATATATAATTTCGTATATATATATATAATTTCGTATATATATATATATATATATATATATATATATATATATATATATACAAAATTATTCGCATCAATTCTGAATATTTTATCCATTTATCAGAAACTAATGCCCGTATGATTCCAGATTTTTTTTTATATGGAATCGAACCTGTATTCCTATACGGAAACCGTCATTTGATATGACGTGCTGTATCATTCAGCTACAGAGAAGCGTCTGGTTAGCAAAATTCGAATGAATGTTTATAAACGCACAATCTTTGAGTATTTTCCCAATCGTCCATTTCTGCTCACGAAACGTATCTTAACGTAAACAATGACAACATATTATGAAATGGATCATTACATTTACTGGCCTGAATATTCGAGAAATTTCATAGAAATCTACAGATGAATGGTCCAGCACATCAGACCAAATGTCGGTTTCTGTATAGAAATACAGGTTAGATTCCTGTCGGAGAACGCATATTTTCTAGGAAATTTCTCGAACATTCGAGCCGGTAAATGTAATTAATACTGTTTAATTAAAAACAGAACCTTTACTTAAATAAATTGTATCTATAAAAATAAGATATAAACAGAAAATATATTAAATAATTGTCGGACAATCATTTCATTATATATATATATATATATATATATATATATATATATATATATATATGAGAATGTAATTTTTGTTTATCCAACATGGGTAAAAATATAAGAAAAATAAGTTGAAAACTGGAATCTAAGATTTTTTTTTATTTAGAGTAAATTTACCGTTGTCACAGTTCTATGATTTTCAAAAGTTAAATTGACATGCAGCTATGTCATGATATGTCTCGCATCTATCTAGAGTTGGAGAATTCCTTCCGATTTACGCAAAAAGAGCAGCCGATTGGTATCTGTTTAAAATGCAATCTGATTGGTTGATTGTGATCACGTCATCAGTCATAGTAATTTTTATGCCAAAAATTGGTGATCCAAAAATTTTTGTTGTCAAAGATTTGGAGTATCATAGTTAACTGAGCGTGACTAAGGACAACAAAGTATTAAGTAGTTCATGACATATAATATAATACCACAAAGTAGTCTTAAAAATCAAAGATGTTTTAAAAATGCCTAAAATGTTTATTTATATTAACACTAGAACACTAACCATCAATTAAAGTCACACCACTATTAACCATCGGTATATCATACCCGATTTTGTAAATATCAAAAAAAAATAAAAAATAAAATAAATATAAATCTTTATTTGAAATATTTTACATGCAGGAACTTCAAACTTTGTACTTTGATTTAACATTAATAGGAACTGAAAAACATTATTTAGTTAAGAAAATCAGGTACTGAAAATTGTAATTAAAAATAAGAAAATTTACGCTGTGTACTATATACCCATGGTTAGTGTTCTAGGGTTAAGGAAATTAATTTTTCTTTTAATTCAATTTGACTTTAGGCCATTATCTTTCAAATAGAAACAAAATTTAGATTCCAAGAAGGCATTTAAATTATTTAAAATGAGTTTTTCCTTTCTCTCTCTTTTTTTAAAATATATATATTAACACCTCATTCGACTTTCCATTTTTACGTAAGGGACAGATTACTGAGCCAGAGTTTCATAAAAAAGTGTTTTTCAATTATAAGTAAGCAAGGAAATAAAGTCACTATGCTGCAAGAGGTTACCGAGAGTTCGAGAAACAGTGAGGACAAGAAAAGAACAAGATTCAAGAACACAGAAGATGATGATTGATCTTGCATTTAAATTTTGAAAATCATAGCTGATAGAAAAACGTGAAACCGAAGGAGAGTTCCACAAGTGAGAAGTACGAGAGAAAAACAGATTATCATAGAACATAGTTATAACTATCAATTTAAACAGTGAAATTATGAGACATAACTGACAATCTAGTTCTACTCTTAAATTCGCAAAGTCGAGGTACCAAAAAAGGAATGCTCATCAGAACAGTTACAGAAGAGGCAAAGGGAGGTTACGCAAAGGCGGTTGGTAAATGACTAAAGCCGAGATGCCAGGTCAGGACTGATAACATGTTAAATAATAGTTTAGCAGACTTATTTTTTAGAGGAAGTGTATCTCTGCTCTGTCTTCCTCAGTTTGACCTTAGGGGTCATATACAAGACAAAATAAGGAAGTCTAATTTGATTGGCCGAGCCAACGTGAAAGATATAGAAAAGGTTTTCAGTGAGTTGTTTCTGAACCGTCGAGCAAGGTAGACATGTTCCGTTTCGTGTCTGAAACGGCTCCCCATTGGTGGGAGAGCGACCCCACTGTATAGTTAGATATATATATACGTCAACGTTAATAAAATAGTTAAGTTAAAATTACCTGTGTTGAAGTTCCTTTATCTCTGAACTCAAAACAATTAGCGATCTCCGGCTGAGAGAGAAGAATGCAACTTTATTACCGAACTGACACCGTCGCCCAAGATCACCCCCACCAAGGGGCTATACAACAAACGTTGTCGATTCGTCTTAAGATTTTGTCAAGAATCTTTAGACATATAGCAGAAGCACCAGACTAAATGTAGCAGCAATATTCGATACACGAATGAATAGTAGTCTTATAAATGTGCAAAGTAGATTCTGGCAGGAAAAAATTGTCTAGCACGACAAAGTGAGCCGACTTTCCTAGCAGCAGTTTTAGCAATAGATTCACTAGTATAATTTCACTTCATACGAAAGCAAGATAGCGATAACGATGTTTAAAATTATGTATGAAATTATGCAATTTGATGTCTTTTTTATTTTTAAATCCCAACTATCCTTGTTACGGACAACCGATAACATTTTACAGCGTTGTAATAATAATAATAATTATTATTATTTGGAACAACCTAAAGAAATATAATCCCAATGCAGAGTGGATCAAACGAGAACAAGAAAGAATGAAGTGCAAGAACCAGTGCAAGAATGGAAAAGTATAGCCATAAATAATGTCAGGCAAGCTCTAACAAAATCCCCAAAATGGAAATCCTTAGGAAATGACAAGTTGCCAAACTTTTGGCTCTATCATCTGTCATCAATCCATAAAACTTTATCAATGCTAATTAATAGCCCAATGAAATTCCAGAATGGATCACTGAATGTATTACATATCTTCTACCAAAAACAGGTGAAACAGATGATCCAAAAAATTATAGGCCAATAACATGCCCACTACATATAAACTGATCACGTCTGTCCTGACGCACTGTACTTACTCTTTTCTCGATGAAAACGTTGTTTCCTTGGAACAGAAGGGATGACGAAGAGGTTCATGTGGTTGCAAAGATCAACTACTAATAAATAAAATCATCCTGGAAAATTGCAGTAAAAAAAAGGTAAAAGCTTGGATAAATTACCGTAAAGCCTTTGGAAGTGTGCCACACTCTTGGATTCTTAAGGCTTTGGATGTGTAAAAAATCTCCTTGGTGATAGTAAATTTCCTTAAATATGCATGAAACTGTGGAAAACCAAATTTTACCTAAATCACACCAAAGGCACTGACACTTCCGATCATTTGAATATCCGACGAGGAATCTTCAAGGAGACTCCCTGTCGCCCTTTCTGATCTGTCTGGCCTTAATCCTCCTTTCGAATAAACAATAATAACTATGAATGCAAAGTAAAGTAGAAAGTTTTTAATCACGTAATCTATAGAGAAGATATCAAACTTTCCCAAAGACGACAGTGAGTTGAAGAGTCTCTTCAATACACTAAAATGTTTCAGTGATGACATTGGTATGGTTTTCGGATTAGACAAATGTGCAAAAGTAACATTCAAGAAAGGGAGAATTACAGAAACACACTCAATCGATATGGATTTTATCACAATGATTAGGGAATGGGGACAAGAAGAAGTCTATAAATATCATAGAGTCAGCGAAGGGGATGGTATACAGCATACGTAAATGAAGGAGAAAGTAAGAAAAGAATACTCTAGGCGTGTGCGTCTGGTATTAAATACCTACTTGAATTCACAAAATAGAATATCAGACATAAACACTTTGACTGTCCCTATGGTACAATACAGTTTCAACATCCTTAATTGGACCATAACTGAAAGCTTTGATCGTCTCTTATGTACCCAGATCTGAATGAGGCAGAGGATTAGTTCAACTAGAACAGTCTTACAAAACCACAACAATCGGCCTTCAATGATACCTGGAAACTATAGAAGACTTAATGAT